CCTCTGTTTTGAGATGGTGGTGGTTCTGATCCTACTTGCATCAGTTCTATACAAGTATAACTCCTTTACATGGGGATAACTGTGATGAAGCAGACCCTGTTTTCTCCATCAGTATCCTACAATTTTTTTTCTTTATTCTTTGGATTTGTTACTTCAGCCACCTTCCTCGACACGCTGGTATGTGGCCTTTCAGTTCTAAGAAGCATAGCTTTGTACATGGAAAGCTTTTTTATTTTAAAATAAACTTCCTGTTTGACTTCCCTTCCCTCTCCATTTTAGACAATACTGCCAGATAGCGGTACACAGAAATTCTGAAAGATGATATTTAAAGTCTAAAGTAACAATGAATATAAAAATTACCATGTTTTTGGTCCCTTTTCTTATTTTTAGGTTCACTTTAAGTTTGTTTAAAGAGTCCTTGTTACCTTAATGTTAAGCCAGCAGCTTATGCCACAAACAGGTGTGGACATGCATGAAATATGTCAAGCATCTTCTACATAATACCTAGAACAGAACAATTAACTAGTATCTGAGTAAAGATCAATATAATTTGTCTTGCATTGTAAACCATATTCCTAAAAAAGGTGACAAGGTGGTTTTTTTAAGGGGTTTTGATTATTTTTCCTTCCCAATAGCTTGTTAGTGAAACTTGAGTAGATAACTGCAATTATGTTAAAAAAAGAAAAATTGAAATCCAGCAAACAGTTTTCAAGCAGATAGACTTAGTATTTACATAGAGCACTACAAGTTCAAACTTGTGTAAAAATCAATTCTCCCATATGCATGTTTGAGGCTGGGAAGTACTACCCCCATATTGCTGATGAAGAATTGGAGGGGGTGGAGAGAAGTGAGTTGCCCAAGGCTACACAAGTCTGGGGAGTGGGCAGCCTTAGGAACTCAGAGAGCACTGGAAGCCAGGAGTCCTCTCAGGCATACTGTAATGCTATTTATTCAGCAAAATTCAAGAAGTAGGAAATGCAGACTGAGAATTAGAAAAACATAATAAATTGTTAATTACTTTTCTTGCAGGGTTATGGTGTTGCCTCTGCACCATCCACATCAAACTCATCAAAATCGATAAAAGAAAATAGCAATGCTGCCATTATAAAACGCTTTAACCATCACAGTGCCATGGTTCTTGCAGCTGGGCTCAGAAAACAGTAAGTTTTAGCATAGGAAGACTATGTTAGAACCGGGGATTAACTTAAATCTTGACAGCACTGCAAATGTAAATAAGTCCCAAATTTCAGTTAATCAATTTCTTCAATCAATTTCTTCTCTTAACTAGAAGCATGTAGACTATTCTGAACTAAAAATAAAGCTATTTGGGCTTATATTTTTTTTATTCTTTAAAACTCATTCAACTTCTGGGGCCATGTTGGGTACCAAACAGTTTGAATTATGTTGTCTGTGTCCCGGAAGGTATAACAGGGCTCCAAGTGAAAACTCCCTCCTTTCCTTTTCTACTTGGTGTAATGTGGATTTTTGTCACGTTTTAAGATATTGTCCCTTACATAATAGACAGCCAAATTAACCTCATGCAAACAATGAAATGCAATGAAGGAAAGA